CAGCTATGTGTTGATTGATCCTAGAAAGAAAATTTTTCATTTTAGATCTTGATTGAATTTAAGATGTATTTATATGCCTACAAAAAGTCTGTCTTGTTACTGTTGTATAAAATAAACCTAATCTATGGTTTCATTTTTAATCTAAAAAAAGTTGTGCCTTAACAATAGGGCATTGTATGTTAATAAGGGAAAACAATCTTTTTAGTAGATGGGGAAAATAGGAACTTTTTGCCATTAAAACTTAAGTTCTTGTGATGTTTTTAATATTATAGTTGGGGGAAGTTCATTAAAATTAAATTGAAATAAAATTATTTTTGCATAACCTAGCATTTACAACTAAAGTATGTTTTTTATAAGAACTGGCATCTTGATGTATATAGGTCTGAAATAATATTTCACCTTTTGATTTTTAATTTTAATAATATTAGACCAGGATAGATCACATTTTTGCAAATCTTAGTTTTAAATAAATTATTTCGGTGTGCTGTTAGTCCTCTACAGTCATTTTGGTTTAAAAAGTGACTTTATTTATGGTAGCATATCAATAATTTATTAATGTTAAAAAATACTTGTGTATGACATTACAAACTGGTACAGTTCCTAAGGGGAGAGGATTCTAATTGATAGGCAGTTCTGAGAGGGCAGGAAGAATGGAACTTTATACTTCAAAAGGAGGTTTTGGTTTTATGAGGTACTGCTTATGTAAATTGTTTATTTTTATTTCATCAAAGCCTGGCAGGTATATGCATTCCAATTTACCATTGGCAAAGCTTTATTTTTATTTTTAAGGTTGGATGTTGAATTAATTTTGTGGGAAAATGAGATTTGTAAGTAGTTTACCTTCTAGATAAGATAACAGAAGCTAAACTTTCAGAAGTTAAGGATGATAATATTAAAATGACTTGTTATATGTTATGTTTGTAAGGGTTCCCTTAAGTATCATAACTAACAATTTGTGGAAATTGAAAAAGCATAAACTGTGTTATTTGATCAGTAATATGTTCCCTTAAAATTCATTTTGAGGTGTATGTTATACACATAGTAAATTTTTGTTCAGGAATGACTTGCTCATTCTGTATTTTTAAAAATAGGAAATAAGGCATAGTGAGTCATCATTCATCAATTAACCAAAAAGTGTTTCATCCCCTCCATCACTGAAATTATCTCCTGTAGCCACCTTTCTTATTCTTGCATTATGAGGGCACATTTATGGACTTATATTTCCATGTGCCGTATTGTCCATTACCGGCAGTAGCCAAAGCTAGCTGTTTTGGTCCCACAGAAGAGACAGTGCTCTGCCATGAGGACAGGGCACTGCTAGGACTGGTTTTTCTTGTTTTTCCCTTTTGGCGATGTGGACTTCAAGAACTAGATGTATATGCACAAGTTTTGAGTTTACACTAAAACTAGGAAGTGAAGTTTTCAATCTGTGTTCCTGCCTCTTCATACTTTTATTTATTTTTTGTCATCCTGCCTTATACTGGGCTAACAATGAGATAAATTAAAATGCCTTTGAATACTCTTCCCTTTCATGTATTTAAAGCCATGGAGGAACTAGACCATTAGCTGTTGCCGTCACATGCTTAGACACCAGTTTACTTAGCGTGTTATGGCCTTCCTCAACCACACTACCAAATTTAAGTGGGTCCTGACTTCACCCTCTGGGAGGAAGTAAACACTTCTCTCCCCATGGTTTTAGAGCAGTTTTTACCTGCAAGCACCATCTCTATATGTGTTCTTACTCGATTGTACAGTTCTTGAGAGGGATTGCATCTTGGTGATTTTTGTATTTCCACCTCAACCCCAGCACCTAGCCCAGTCTCTTGCACAAATTAAGTACTTAATGTGTGTTGAATTAAATTGAATAAAGGATTATTAGCATTAGCATGTTTCGTGCCTTGGTTGTATAAGCTGATTGTTTGTTTTGTTACATTTGCAAATATTTAATGATTATCAACCCCCACATACTAAGTTTTTAAAAGTTTTGCCTTTGCTTCAGATACTACCCCAGGCAATTTGCTGTAGATAATGTGATAGCTTCCAATGACATAATTACCCCAAACTCTGCCCCGATATACTTTGCCAAACGAAATTTGAATTCTCTGAATAAATTGGTCATGTCTAAAAGAGATGGTGTGCTGCATCTCCTTTTTTGTGTGCCCCCAACACCCTCCCCCCGGCTTTTTTTTTTTTTCATTGTAAAAAGCACAGAAAAATTTAACATTTTAACCATTTTTAAGTGTACAATTCAGTGGCATTTCGTATGTTTTCAGTGTTATGCAACCACCTGGAACCATTTCCAGAACCTGTTCATCATTTCTAAACAAACTATACTCATTAAATAGTAACTCTTCATTCTCCAGCATCCTCACCAGCCACTGTTAAGATCCCTGCCCCCACCCCTGAGCCAGCTCCTAGTAACTCTTCAGCTTTCTGTCTCTACGAGTTCATCTGATTTTCAACTCTTAAGTCATCGTTTTGAGAACAGATGTACGTGACTTACATATTATAAAACTAGCTTGAATCCTTTCTTAGATTTTTAAAAAGTAAGATGGAGGATAGAGAAAAGAGCAAAAGAAGAAAGGAAAGAATTGTAGAAAGGCGGTACTGTTACTGAACACCGAGGTTTTGGTCTAGATCTCTTTCTTTGCCACACAGAAAGCCAATCACTGAGACAATGAGTATTGCCAAGGAAGAAAGGCTTTATTTATTTGGGTGATGTTAGGGAGATGGGAGATAAGTCTCAAATCTCTCAAATCTATCTCACTGAACCCCCCAAATTCCTGACTAAAGTTACACGTTTATATAGCAGAGAAGGAAAACAGGAGGGGTGAGAAAATGGAGTGCGTCAACAGGCAGCAAGTGGTTGAATGAATGGTCTGACATCTCATTGGATGGTTGGGATGACTGGGTAAGATTCAGTTTCTTGCTATTAATACCATCTGGGAGGCCTGAAGGAACTTAGGTAAGACAAATGTAAGTTTTAAGCTTTAAGCCCAGGAGGGTCAATTTCTACGTTGATTGAAAAAAATCCCATAAACATCAGTTTTATGGGTTAATTGGGCCAGTTTCACTAATAAAAAAGGTACAATGAAAAGGCTACACAGGCTTTTGTTCTTAAGATTTGTAGGTGTTAGGCCTCTTTAAAATTTTTCAAGTTTCTTCTGAAGATCAATAAAGCAAGCTCAAAAAAGCAAGACCTTTCTTTTTGTTGTTGTTGGGTTTTTTTGTTTGTTTGTTTTTGTACTGAGATGGAGTTTCGCTCTTGTTGGCCAGGCTGGAGTGCAATGGCATGATCTCGGCTCACTGCAACCTCCACCTCCTGGGTTCAAGTGATTCTCCTGCCTCAGCCTCCCGGGTAGCTGGGACTACAGGCGCCCGCCACGTTGCCTGGCTAATTTTTTTGTATTTTGTTAGAGACAGGGTTTCTCCATGTTGGTCAGGCTGGTCTCGAACTCCCGACCTCAGGTGATCCGCCTGCCTCGGCCTCCCAAAGTGATGATTTTATTTTTATTTTAATTTTATTAATCTGCATATAGATAATGACTTTGTGAAGAGTGTGTGTTGTGTGCAAAACTTAAGATATTGGTTGAGAGTTAAATACATTATTTTTATAATATGTTGGGTATAGTCTAGTTACTAATGATTTTTAAGTACTTTTATAAAAAGTTCATTTTTAAAATTGTTTGTTTTTAAAAGCCAATATACACTGCAAAATTAGGAACAGTATTTTTATTTATTTATACAAGACATTGTGCCAGAGCATACTAGTAAAACACCTTCATGAATGGGTAATGTAATCTCCCAGAATTACATTAAAATTATTTCTGAAAAGTAGCAAAGTCATTACATTTTACTTTTAATGACCCATACCTCACCAGCTCCTCGTCTTTTCTTCACTGTTGCCCTTATTTTGAGGTAATTTTTCCTTAAAATATAACTTACACACCACATTTAGTAGAGGCAGTGACAGTGATCTCAGTACCTATCAGCTGTCCCCCTCCTCTGCCCCTCTTCATCTCTTCTACCTTGTGACCATTTCCCTTGCCCATTCATGTTCTCCTTTATCTCTGCTTTTCTTTCTTAGCCAGGATGCTTCCCCCACAACTCTCACTCCCAAATTCTTTTAGATATACATTTTTCTGGATATTGGCTGCTGAAATCTGAAGCTCTGGTAAAGTTCCTAGTACGGGAGATCAGTCCTGGAGGAGGCCTAGTTAACTATTACATTACAAAGACTCCTCAGAAAGTAAAGGAAAATCACCTTCAAAACCACAAACCTTTACGTTGTCAAGTCTAACATGAGTGTTTTTACAAAGTATTTCTTTCTACCCATTGTTCAAGAATGTAAATGTAGAAAAAAACACAAGACAGTTGGGTAGATACACATGCTTGAGGAAACTTGCTTTTACTGTTTTCCTACTTGTATCCCCAGTTCAGTTGAATTTACAAGGACCTACAAGATGGTCATGTTTGTCTTGGTATGTGTCACCCCAATTTTAGTGTTTCTTTTTTGATTTTAAATCAGTAATTATTCAGTGGATTGTTTATACTGTATAATGAAGTAACAAAACCATTTCGGTTTGTATGTTTTAATTAACAGTTGTGCAAATTCTTCCTGTTTGTTAGGTGCTCCCTTTGAATATTTTGTGAACTGTGTCAGAGGGAGAGGGGTGGTGGCTAGGAAGAGGGTCAGAAAGAAGCTAGAGGGAGGTCAGGAAACAGGGAGGATGCAAAGCAGACATCTACCCTGGTCACCCCAGGGTCAGGGTATCTGTCCTTGTCTCATGTTGAATTCACAAATTGGATATCACTTAGGCTTTGAAGGTGACAGCCATCTCTGATAGCTGAGCATGAGTAAAGAAAGGTAGAGTGCCAATGCAGAAAGGAAAATATTCAGCTTTCCTCTCTTAGATCACACTTTGAAGATGGCCTTCTGGAGACAATCTGACGGGTTAAAACAGGAGCTGTTGGAATTATTCTAGCTGTAACTACATATCAGCTATGTGTTGATTGATCCTAGAAAGAAAATTTTTCATTTTAGATCTTGATTGAATTTAAGATGTATTTATATGCCTACAAAAAGTCTGTCTTGTTACTGTTGTATAAAATAAACCTAATCTATGGTTTCATTTTTAATCTAAAAAAAGTTGTGCCTTAACAATAGGGCATTGTATGTTAATAAGGGAAAACAATCTTTTTAGTAGATGGGGAAAATAGGAACTTTTTGCCATTAAAACTTAAGTTCTTGTGATGTTTTTAATATTATAGTTGGGGGAAGTTCATTAAAATTAAATTGAAATAAAATTATTTTTGCATAACCTAGCATTTACAACTAAAGTATGTTTTTTATAAGAACTGGCATCTTGATGTATATAGGTCTGAAATAATATTTCACCTTTTGATTTTTAATTTTAATAATATTAGACCAGGATAGATCACATTTTTGCAAATCTTAGTTTTAAATAAATTATTTCGGTGTGCTGTTAGTCCTCTACAGTCATTTTGGTTTAAAAAGTGACTTTATTTATGGTAGCATATCAATAATTTATTAATGTTAAAAAATACTTGTGTATGACATTACAAACTGGTACAGTTCCTAAGGGGAGAGGATTCTAATTGATAGGCAGTTCTGAGAGGGCAGGAAGAATGGAACTTTATACTTCAAAAGGAGGTTTTGGTTTTATGAGGTACTGCTTATGTAAATTGTTTATTTTTATTTCATCAAAGCCTGGCAGGTATATGCATTCCAATTTACCATTGGCAAAGCTTTATTTTTATTTTTAAGGTTGGATGTTGAATTAATTTTGTGGGAAAATGAGATTTGTAAGTAGTTTACCTTCTAGATAAGATAACAGAAGCTAAACTTTCAGAAGTTAAGGATGATAATATTAAAATGACTTGTTATATGTTATGTTTGTAAGGGTTCCCTTAAGTATCATAACTAACAATTTGTGGAAATTGAAAAAGCATAAACTGTGTTATTTGATCAGTAATATGTTCCCTTAAAATTCATTTTGAGGTGTATGTTATACACATAGTAAATTTTTGTTCAGGAATGACTTGCTCATTCTGTATTTTTAAAAATAGGAAATAAGGCATAGTGAGTCATCATTCATCAATTAACCAAAAAGTGTTTCATCCCCTCCATCACTGAAATTATCTCCTGTAGCCACCTTTCTTATTCTTGCATTATGAGGGCACATTTATGGACTTATATTTCCATGTGCCGTATTGTCCATTACCGGCAGTAGCCAAAGCTAGCTGTTTTGGTCCCACAGAAGAGACAGTGCTCTGCCATGAGGACAGGGCACTGCTAGGACTGGTTTTTCTTGTTTTTCCCTTTTGGCGATGTGGACTTCAAGAACTAGATGTATATGCACAAGTTTTGAGTTTACACTAAAACTAGGAAGTGAAGTTTTCAATCTGTGTTCCTGCCTCTTCATACTTTTATTTATTTTTTGTCATCCTGCCTTATACTGGGCTAACAATGAGATAAATTAAAATGCCTTTGAATACTCTTCCCTTTCATGTATTTAAAGCCATGGAGGAACTAGACCATTAGCTGTTGCCGTCACATGCTTAGACACCAGTTTACTTAGCGTGTTATGGCCTTCCTCAACCACACTACCAAATTTAAGTGGGTCCTGACTTCACCCTCTGGGAGGAAGTAAACACTTCTCTCCCCATGGTTTTAGAGCAGTTTTTACCTGCAAGCACCATCTCTATATGTGTTCTTACTCGATTGTACAGTTCTTGAGAGGGATTGCATCTTGGTGATTTTTGTATTTCCACCTCAACCCCAGCACCTAGCCCAGTCTCTTGCACAAATTAAGTACTTAATGTGTGTTGAATTAAATTGAATAAAGGATTATTAGCATTAGCATGTTTCGTGCCTTGGTTGTATAAGCTGATTGTTTGTTTTGTTACATTTGCAAATATTTAATGATTATCA